GCAACAGGGACCTGGGCCCAGATGTTGTAGAGGCCCGATCTGCCTTGGCGGAGTTGCCCGATTCGGACTTGGTCGCCAGTGCATGCCCCCTTTTTAACGATCGCCGCTTTAACTTCTTCCGATGTTGTGGAGTCGTCCAGCCCTTCGATTTTAACATCGACCAGTTTTTCGGGTCTGGAGACCTTGATGTCCTCGTCCTGGTACAGTTCTTGCAGCTTTTGTGCCAGAACGTCTGCCTTCGGTGCGCTGGTGATGCCGGGGATGCGGATGATGGTAGCCCCGGTCACCGCCCTACGGAATTGCACCGCTTCTACTCCTATTACTTCCTTCAGGTCCAGCTTGGCTTTAGCCTCCCTAAGGACACTGCTGTACGTCAGCCCTTTGTTTTTCGCTGCCTCGGTGAGTGTCACCACGACCGCAGAGCTCCGAGGCACTCTTAGTCTCTGCGGCGGCGGTGCAGGCGCGGATGTTGGTGCCTGCCTGGGTGTGGCTTTGGGCTTGTCGCGCCGTTGCGCCTTACCATTTCTCCCGACGGTGACCCAGTTATCCTCGAGCATGTCTGGGTTGAGGGGACGGGGAGGAAGGGTTTGTGACGGTGTAACGGCGACAGGGGAGGTATTTGAGTTTACGCCCGTCAGCGGCCGAGTTTTCTTCTTCTTCTTCTTTTTGCTGACTTCTTTTTTGGAAGCCTTGCCCTTGCCCTTCTTGGGCGGCGCAGATGTTTGGCGCGTGAGTCCACTAGGACCGGGCTGGGTCGTCATATGGGGCTCCTCCATCCCAGCTGTTACCCTGGCACCCGAAGCTGGCGCGGGCGTGGGTTTCGCAGCCATAGTCGCGAATGTGCGGGCCTCCTTCTTCTTATCCGACGCCAATGGTGGACGAAGGTTTTTCTCGGGGAGCAACCTGTCCTCCAAGGAAGCCAGGCGGGCATTTAACATGCCACCCACCTGGATCATTACCGTCCGGCAAATATCCTCTAAAGAGGGGTCTTCTTTTGGTTGTGGAGGCCGGGCAGGGACGGCCTCCATCGTCGTGTCCATGCAGGTATTGGCGGAACCCTGCTTCCGCACCTGCTCCATCGCCAGGCGAATTTCGGCCAGCTCCTTGCGGAGGCTGGTCATCTCGGCTTGCAGGCGGGTGTTATCGGCCTGCAAGGCACGTGTCTCCTCCGATATTGACCTCTGCGCGAGGCCAGCGACGTCCTCCTTTATTGCACTGACGGCATCGTGCAGTGCGCGAACGAAGGTCCCCTTTAAGTTGGACGATTTTTTCGCCACCCTTTCGACCACTTCTAGACTGGCCCCAATTCGCTGGAGCACGGTGGTCGCGGCGTCTTGTCCGTTGTCTGCAGCTCTCGGGTCGGATGATGAGCCAACCGTGGCCAGGGACGAGCGAGTTTTGCGGGCTTCCAAAACTGTCTCGAGCAACTCCGCCTCAGCTCGTGCCCTGGTCTCTGCCTCTGTAGCCTTTCGAAGGGACTCCTTCGCGGCCGCTAGTCCGACGTACTCGCCAGTAGTTGGCGGACGGCCGCGTCCCCTCCTTTTGTGGGCCCCCTTAGTCGGGGTGTCCGTGGAGCTTTCACTCAACTCCAGGTCTCTAGGCCGCTTCTGGCCGCGGCCCTCGCTCCAGTATCTTCCTGGGCCGTCGTGGTCCAGGGACTCCATCGAACCAAAGCGGCTGGAGACGCTTATCATCGAGCCTCTGCTGTCCGACTCGGAGTCAGATGATCTTCCTGCATTATCTCCTCCATCCAAACCTAACCCTCCTTCCCTCACATGGCGAATGGCCCCCCCGTATACAATGGGGCCGATGGGCCGGCTGTCCGACCCACCAAGGGATTCCCCGCAAGCGGGACCCTCCCGGG